GCCCCACGCGCCCGTCTTTCACGTAGATCGGCCCCAGCCGCCGCTGTGCCAGGACGGACCGGAATGCGAAGAGCGCGTCTCCGCCGCGCCCATGTTCGGCGCGGCGCGGCCACTGCCGCGGCCGTTGCCCGCGGGCGCGGCCTGGGCGGCCTGCCCCTGCGCCTGCAAACGCAACTGTCACGCGCGACGCGCGACGCCCCCGGCACGCGCGGGCGACCTTGGCTGCGCGGTCGAACTCGTTCTCGGCAGACCGCAGGGACAACGCGTCGAGCCCTCTCGAGGCCTCCTCAATATTGAACTTCTCGACGCCGCTCTGTCGCGAGCGCTCGGCCCAGCTCTTGCGGGCGGATTTGTCGCGCAGGAGCCCAAGCCCCGCCTTGCGGCCCGCGAGCGGAGCTTCCAAGGCCACCTCGCGAAAGGCAACGGGCGCGCGCGCCGCTACGTGCGCGCGCTGGCACGTCGCGGACCTGGAGCGCACATCGCTTATGCGCCAAGCAGCGCGCGTAAGATAGCTGCTTAGTGGCAGCAGCCGCAATCGCCCATGCGTCGTAGGCGAGGTGAAACTCGGCCCACGACAACGCGCGCTGACCTTCACTGCCGCACTCAGCCGTCACTCCGTCGGCGTCTGCCTCGTCGACCCAGCGGGCGCTCGCGGCCCAGATCGGGAGAAAGCCGCGCAAATCAAAGTAAACGCAAGGATCCGCGCAGCCCCTCTTTCTCGCGCGCACGACCTCGGCAGCCATCCAATCACATTTCTCGCTCCTGTGCAAGGCAGCGACCGCTGTCGCCGCCGCTGGCGCGCTCGCGCGAGGGCGCGCCTCGGCCAGGTCGTCTGGCTGAGGCCGTTCAACGTAATCGTCGCCAACTCAGCGCCCACGTCTACGTGGTGCACGGGGGCGGCCATTTCCACATTGGCCTCCGCCCCGATGCGAGCGCACAGACCAGGGGGGCTCGCTGGGCGCGCTCGCGCACGCTACCTGCTTACCCGCAGTTGTGGCGCGCTCCAGCGCGCGGCGGAGCACGCCTTTCACGCCCGCTGGCAGGCCCTCCGAGCCTGATAGCTTTTCTAGCCGAATGTTCGCAGGCTGTGGCGGCGTCAGCAGCTTATCAGCGCCTGAGCAGTCAATCGCAGCCTTGTATTCGACGTCCGACCATTCTGCCCCGAACACGGGGTCTTGGCGCAGAAAGCTCAGCAGCGGTCCGTCCGCCATCACGAACAAAGAAGCCAGAAAACACCAGCGTCGCACTGCTCGCGCGCGCGGGGATCACGCGGCGGGCCGACTGCAACGCAGCGCACTCAACACGCGCACAGAAAGACGGCGACGCCGGTAGCAACACGAGCGAGGTGCCTGCAGATACCTGGTCCGCCGCTTCGCAGACGCAAAACGAACGCGCGCACCCCGAACGCGGGGGAGGAACGGCGGCGCCGGGAACGCAACGCGAGATGCCTGCGGAAACCTGGTCCGCATATGGCCGTGAGCGCGGGTCACGCGTCTTACCGAGCGGGCAGGCGCTGGCCAGCTGGTCGATCCTCGCGCTTCGTGCGCACGGCCCAAGCGGCACCGTGGCCGTCAGCTCCATCGAGGGGCTGCCTGAGGGCCCTGCGGCAGACGTGCGCCTCCGTGGCGACGATCTGCTGCGATCGCGCCGGGGGGGGCTGGATGCTCCCGCCGCCCGCGCGCGCGACAGTAAGAACACGCAAAAGGGCCAATGTGACACGTCTCGCGACACGAGGCGGGCTGAGTTGACGGCACCTCGTCGTCAGACGACATCGCTACACGGCGTGCCAAGTAGCCCGCGCAGCGACCCTTATGCGGCCCCCAGTTGCGGGAGGGAGCGCGCAAATCCACACTGGGACGACACGCGCGGCACGAGCGCGCGCGTTTGTTAAAAGCGCTGTGGTCGCGCGCGCCGCCCTAGGCGCCCGCGACCCGCGCTGGCGGGCGCGCCCGCGGCTTTACCCGGCGGAAGTGCGCTTCGTCGCCGCTGTCTGGATTGTCCATTAGACGGTAGCGTATCACGGGCGCAGAGACGATCTGGGGCTTAGCGCAGCCCATTATGATGCGGCAGACGTCGCGCGGCAAACGCGGCGCGCATTGGGCCAGGGCGAAGCGCAGTTCAGCACACACCTGCTCCAGCCTTACTAACCGATGGCCGACTGCTCCGAGTCGGACTGGCGACTGGCAGCTCTCGTTGGCAGGCGGCGCTGGCATTGCTAGGGGCGGGCCCCTTGGCGCTCGCCCCTGCAGCCTGGGGCCCGCCCCCTTAACCAGCAGGTAGCGAAGCCGCTCGCGCGCCTGCGACAACGCTGTGTCTGCGTACGCGACCCGCGCGCGGGATGCGGTGCGCACCAAGGAGCCCCTTTCTGTTTTCGCCTCGAACGGCACGAGCGCCGCCTGCGCAGCCTGCTCCGCCATCGCAAGCAAGCAGAAGCCGCTGACTTCACCCGACATTCGGAGCCGCTGCGAACCTGCGGCAGCCACAGCAAAAACAAGTCGAC